GGCAAAATGGCTTAAGGACAACAAAGTCAAGGTATCGGAGTGGCCATCACAAAGCCCTGACCTCAATCCTATAGAAAATCTGTGGGCAGAACTGTAAAAGCGTGTGCGAGCAAGGAGGCCTACAAACCTGACTCAGTTACACCAGCTCTGTCAGGAGGAATTGGACAAAATTCACCCAACCTATTGTGGGAAGCTTGTGGAAGGCTACCCAAAAGGTTTGACCCAAGTTAAACAATTTAAAGGCAATGCTACCAAATACTAATTGAGTGTATGTAAACTTCTGACCCACTGGGAATGTGATGAAATAAATAAAATCTGAAATAAATCATTCTCTCTACTATTATTCTGACATTTCACATTCTTAAAATAAAGTGGTGATCCTAACTGACATAAGACAGGGAATGTTTACTAGGATTAAATGTCAGGAATTGTGAAAAACTGAGTTTAAATGTATTTGGCTAAGGTGAATGGAAACTTCCGACTTCAACTGTAATTAGTTAAATAAAGTCAACCTGTGTGCAATCTCAGTGTCACATGATCTGTCACATGATTTCAGTATATCTACACCTGTTCTGAAAGGCCCCAGGGTCTGCAACACCACTAAGCAAGGGGCACCACCAAGCAAGCGGTACCATGAAGACCAATGAGCTCTCCAAACAGGTAAGGGACAAAGTTGTGGAGAAGTACAGAGCAGGGTTGGGTTATAAAAAAATATCGGAAACTTTGAACATCCCACGGAGCACCATTAAATCCATTAAAAAATGGAAAGAATATGGCATCACAACAAACCTGCCAAGAGAGGGCCGCCCACCAAAACTCACAGACCAAAGATAACCCTGAAGGAGCTGCAAAGCTCCACAGCGGAGATTGGAGTATCTGTCCATAGGACCACTTTAAGCCGTACACTCCACAGAGCTGGGCTTTACGGAAGAGTGGCCAGAAAAAATGCCATTGCTTAAAGAATAAAATAAGCAAACCCGTTTGGTGTTCGCCAAAAGGCATGTGGGAGACCCCAAACATATGGAAGAAGGTACTCTGGTCAGATGAGACTACAATTGAGCTTTTTGGCCATCAAGGAAAATGTCTGGCGCAAACCCAACACCTCTCATCACCCCGAGAACACCATCCATGGTAGTGGGAGCATCATGCTGTGGGGATGTTTTTCATCGGCAGGGACTGGGAAACTGGTCAGAATTGAAGGAATGATGGATGGCGCTAAATACAGGGAAATTCTTGAGGGAAACCGGTTTCAGTTTTCCAGAGATTTGAGACTTTATTTTGGCCATTATTTTGCCTTGTCTATGCCCCCATAGAATGACAATGCACCCATCCACATGGCACGAGTGGTCACTGAATGGTTTGATGAGAATGAAAACGATGTAAACCATATGCCAATACTTGCAGAATATATGCTAAGGTCCATTTAATATTTTCTGGCTCGTTGTGGCCCAACTCCCTACAGCCCTTTCCTGCAGTCAAATGACCAAATCGCCCCTAGTGGCCTCATGGGTGAATATTATTAATATTTGTCATATTTTCATAATTAATTCACTTTTAATTTTTTTTACACAACAAATCTGGTGTTTCTAGGTCAAACATTTGTTTTTATATTTCAGTCTTCTGTGATGTATATAAAGTGTAATATTGGGATGCAAACTGAAAATTGAATACATTTACATTTTAGTCATTTAGCAGACGCTCTTATCCAGAGCGACTTACAGTTAGTGAATACATTATTATTTTTTTAAATACTGGCCCCCCGTGGGAATCGAACCCACAACCCTGGCGTTGCAAACGCCATGCTCTATCAACTGAGCTACATCCCTGCCGGCCATTCCCTCCCCTCCCTCCCCGCTGGGCCAATTGTGCGCCGCCCATGAGTCTCCCGGTCGCGGCCGGCTGCGACAGAGCCTGGATTCGAACCAGGATCTCTAGTGGCACAGTTAGCACTGCGATGCAGTGCCTTAGACCACTGCGCCACTCAGGAGACATTTCAACGCTATATCTGACATGGAATAGGTGTCTTATTTTTTGTAAACCATGTGTGTGAGGTGTATACTTTTGTGTCAAAGTAGATTTGTTTAAGACTACCAAGAAACACTCTGTGACCCTGATTTAGCCCACTGCAGTAAAGGTTTATGAAGACACTTTATGTTGGTGTTTCCTTTATTTTGGCAGTTACCTGTCTCTATAACCTATTAGGTTAGGAAGAAGGCTGACCTTTGAACAAACACTTTGGCATAGCAAGAATCCTGCTCAGATCAAGTGAGGTAATGAGGTTACACAACTGTTGCTCAGTTGGTAGAGCATGCCGTTTGCAACGCCAGGGTGTGGGTTCGTTTCCCACGGGGGTCCAGTATGAAAATGTATGCACTCACTAACTCTAAGTCGCTCTGGATAAGAGCGTCTGCTAAATTACTAAAATGTCAAATGTAAAATGTGACTCTCTTCTGGTGATGATACATTTAGCTAGTCCAAAGAGAGCTTTCATAGCATTGTCAGGATGGGGTCCACACACAGTAACATAATACTTTTTAGATTTATTCAACATTGCCCTTTTGCGCTCTGTAAACAATTTACATTTTGTTACTATAAATTAATGATATATAGCCTTTGATTCTTAAAGAATATAACCTTCCTCATGAGCATAGTTCAACTGATGCCCCTTTAGAACCTCAGCTATAAGCTTGTTTATATTGTTTGTAAACAATATAATTGTAAACAAACACTATATCTTCAAAATATGTTTAAGGGTAGGATTCAATTCAATCAGCGTTAGATCCGCGCACTTGATATGTAAAGCCACATTGTCGGCTGTCCAGCGCACTGCTTGAATCCTGACCTAAAAATATTATTTTGATCTCATGGATAGTCAGTCCTTACACCCATAGCTCCTTCTATGAATCTGAGAGTGGTTACATTTCTCCAGCTCCATCCCTCAGCATGTGGCGGGGCAGACAGTTTTTTGTTTTTCAAATGCCAGACTGTAACTTTAAGCTGTCACAGCAACCAAAATCCGTTGACATAGTATCACAACAGATCCCAAGATGTCAAGCTTTTACTACACTGTCACTATTTTCTCTGCATACAGATATTTTTCCCCCTGTTTCTGTTTGTCATGATGGACTCGTATCACCAAATAACAGAGGAGATTGAATGCCCTATGCAGTACAAAGCCGCAATAGTGAACACTTAGGCATAGCTTCCACATATTTTTCTGAAAGGAAAGGGTCTAGGGCATTGTATGAATCAACACCGTCTGTGATTAACCCGAGGTAATTCAGCACTCCTACTCTAAGACGCTGGATACATTTGGCCCCAGGTTACATGCAAACTCAGCTAATCTTTTGAGACATTGATTTAATCTGCCTTTCACTGAGGGATGCAGGGAGTGTTTGTGTGTAAATTGCTCAGCTATCTGGTTGCTTTGTCATGTTAATCTTATCCCAGTGATAGCCTCTGATGATGTTGTGCATGGAATGTGTATGAATGAACATAGCACTGCAAAAGTTATTTCCCTACAAATGTTACTTAGAAATGTTTGTGGAGAAATTCCTCCCTTGATAACTAGAGAATTCTGAACTAATTTTACCAACTGCAACATTTATGAATAACAAACATTAAGAACACCTGCTCTTTCCATGACATAGACTGACCAGGTGAAACTCAATATTAGAAAGGTGTTCCTAATTTACATTTACATTACATTTACGTCATTTAGCAGACGCTCTTATCCAGAGCGACTAATGTTTGGTATACTCAGTGTATACTAATATAAAATGTACAGTTATACATACAGTACCAGTCAAAGGTTTGGACACACTTACTCATTCCAGGGTTTTTCTTTACTTTTACTATTCTCTACATTGTAGAATAATAGTGAAGACAATCAAACTATGAAATAACACATATGGAATAATGTAGTAACCAAAAAAGTGTTAAACAAATCAAAATATTATTATTATTATTATTACTACCTCATGAAGCTGGTTGAGAGAATGCCAAGAGTGTGCAAAGCTGTCATCAAGGCAAAGGGTGGCTACTTTGAAGAATCTCAAATATAAAATATATTTGGATTGGTTTAACACGTTTTTGGTTACTACATGATTCCATATGTGTTATTTCATAGTTTTGATGTCTTCACTGTTATCTATATTGTAGAAAATAGTAAAAAATAAAGAAAAACCTTGGAATGAGTAGGTGTGTCCAAACTTTTGACTGGTACTGTATGTATATTGTAGAAAAACTACATTAGTTTTAGTTTGAAATTCCTGATGGCGTTATACTCAACATTTGTACCCAATTATGACACTCCTCACTGAGTGTAAAACGAGACAAACATTGAGTATACAATATTATGTATAAGTATATATTGTATATCCGTACAGAACTCAAGTTTCTGGGCCTTTTATTCATTAATGTTGCGGTTGCTAAAAATAGATCATATTTTACCCTGCAAAGTCTCTCTATTGTGGGTAACATTTTCCCCAATCATCCCTAAATGTCATCTTTCATATTCGATCGAAGGTAACACACTTTCTATATCTAATCTTATACTGCACACCATTTCTATACACTTTTTAATTTATGTCATGGAAATTGACTAATATATTCCATGGCTTGGAACTTCAACGATAAGTAATATTTACTTTTACTGTAATTGTACTATTACCAATATATTTATTAACAATGTATTTGATCGACTGACTTTGATTTATTCAATATGGGAACATTTAGAAAATTAATCTGTGCATTCATAGATGACCTGGTTTAAACCAATACACACACATGAAATAGAACAGAAAACATAAATAGTTAACATGTGATTCACACGGACAGTCAGAAACAGCTGAACTGAATCATCTTCAGGCTGACCCCTGGACAGTGCTGTGGCTGCCATGTTTCTGTACTATCGCAATTCTTGTTGTGTTTTAACAGCTTGGTTGTCATTCTCTCTGTTTTGTTGTTTCTCGTGATGAAATGTCCTGTGTATGTTTTCTTTAATCAGATGCTTTGATAAGACACCTACTGCGTTTGAGCAATCAGCACTCTTACGCAGGAGGGGGACTCTTGGACTTTGGAGTGGATTGCCTTGGTGGCAAGCTGAGCAGCAAGGGTCAGCCTGCAGTCACATGCTAGCACAAACATCCAATGATAGTCCAGTACTTCAGCCTACGCTGCCAATGGGTCTGCGTCTGAGGTGGGCCGTATCATTCCCGAAGGACTATAAGACATTTGGGAGGCCCAAGGAAAGCTACCATCCAATCTAAACTGTCCTGCAACTCAGGTGAGTGGTCCCCTCTCTTTCTCTGCCAAGGAACTCTGTTATGTTTGATGTGGTAAAATGTTTGGTTTTCTTGCAATATGTTGTTTAGTAGTGAGTCAGGTATCTGTAAAAATGGGCATTCAATTATAGAGGGACATTCCTTCCCAACCACATTGTAAGCTGCTCATTTAAATAGTATTGCTATAAGCAGTAGTTTAGAGCGTGATCTTTAGAGTGCTTGATAGATGTTTCATTACTGTTTTTCCAATAGGTAAACTGTTGATATGAATCAAGATGATTCTTCTCAGTGAATTAAGAAAGGCAAATGAAGATGGAAATCAAACAGAGTCCATGTCTAATTCCATTCTAAATTTGCTGTGACAGGCAGAAGTTGCAATTTCCTAGGGAGTCGGGGGTATGGGCATTTGGCGAACTACATTACCATTCAGACAATTTATTATGATTTGAAATCTTCCTGATTTGAAATCTTCTTGAATCAACTGAGTTAAATTGAACTGATCCCAAAACTGTCACTGAGTGCACTTATTTGTTATGCCAAGAGAAAAACCTTGAAACCACAAAATTCTTCAGAGATGGCCATCCTACCATCCGTCAGAGGTTGAAAAAGTACTCAGTTGTCATACTTGAGTAAAAGTAAAGATACCTTAATAGAAAATGACTCAAGTAAAAGCGAAAGTCAATACAAAATACTACTTGAGTAAAAGTATAGAAGTATCTGGTTTTAAATGTACTTAAGTACAGTGGTGGAAAAAGTCATAATTAGTCATACTTGAGTAAAAGTAAAAAGTAAATGCTACAGGCCTACATCAAGTTCCTTATTTTAAGCAAACCAGACTGAACAATTGTATTGTTTTTTAAATTACGGACAGCCAGGGGCACACTCCCACACTCAGACATAATTTACAAACGTAGTATTTGTCTTTAGTGAGTCCACCAGATCAGAGGCAGTAGTGATGACAACGCATTATATTGATAGGTACATGAATTGGACCATATTGCTGTCCTGCCTGAGCATTCAAAATGTAACAAGTACTTTTGTGTGTCAGGAAAAATGTATGGGATTAAAAAGTACATATTTTCTTTAGGAATGAAAGTAATTTTACACCACTGCCATCCAGTGATCGAACCACGCCTCCACAGACCTATGGGGTCAAGCTAATCCTACCATTCTCTTCTCTCCTAAGGTGCCCTACTTAGCAGCCATGAAGTTCTCTCTTGCCGCCCTTGTTGTCATGTTTGCTTTGGCGCACGGTAAGAGAAAGTTCTTCATATTTGAAAGGTGCACTCTGTCGCTAGTTTCTCCCCTGTGGTAGCATTCAGAATTAAATACACAATTACGGCTTAAATAACATTTATTTTTCACATAGATTTCATTCTGTATGTGCTTATATAACTGCATTTCACATATGTGCACTATATAATATAATAATAGTGAGATATATGCAAGATAAGGAAATGTTATACTGCAGAGTTGGTGGATTTATTTATAACTCATGTATTTTAAACGGCTGTATGTGTAGAGGGTCTTGTCTGTGCTGTTGTATGCTATATGGGCATAAATGGTTTGTGTACATTGTGGGCCTCTGTTAATGACATTATCCTCTGGCTACCCATAGGAAGCCAAGCAGCACAGTCCCCCGAGTTTGAGAAGCTGGCACAGTACTTCCAGGATCTGTCAGCTCAGCTGACCTCCACCACTCAGGAGCTGGTGCAGAAGATCCAGGCAGAGTAAGTTACATTTAAAAAAAAAAAACGTTTACATTATTTGATAAACTTTTGAAGAACCAGCCCTTCCAACCCAGTCCTAATTATAAAAAAACACAACTCACCTCATTCTATTGGCTTATAATTTACAATAAAGAAACAATTAAGGGAGCAGCCAAAAACAATGCAAAAGAATGGATGCATGGTCAAAAATAATATACATTCCAAAATTTGATGAAAAAAGGCCAATGACCATCAAAAGCATTAACAGGTAATGTGTTTTGATCCTATTTTTCAACAATATTTTTGGCTCTACCTTTGTTTATATTGTGTTCAGACCACTAATCACCCGCTCCCTTCCTAACAGGACCTTCTTAGAGGATGGGAAGGCCCAGCTGCAGCAGATCCAGGCCAAGCTGGCACCCCTGGCTGATAACATGCAGGCCCAGCTGAAGCCCCTGGCTGAGAACATGCAGGCTCAGCTCAAGCCTCTGGTTGACAACGTCCAGGCTCAGATAGAAGACCTCTTCCGCAAGGTGATGGACCAGACAAAGGCCCTCGGCCAGTAAAGCAGCTCTTTTTCAACAACCTGACCATCTTGGACCGAATCAACAGCTCCATAGCAGCCAAAACCAGTCCACCAAGAGTTGGAACCAGACAAACCTTCTGTTTAAGTCGTCTGCATTTGTGCCAAGACCAATGTTGTTGACATGCAAAGACAGACAGTAGTAATCCAGAACATCATTAAAACTTGTAAACTGGTCCTGTGGTCTCTATTGTAATTTGTCATCAATTACTTTCCAATCATACATCCCTTAACATATTTGTTTTGTGTCTGATTATTGAAATCTGCTTAATTTCTCAATTTAGGAGTTATAGTTTCAATAATAACCCATTTCACTACATCACAGGTTATACACTACCAATCAATACACTCCCCTCCGTATTTATTTGTACAGTGAAGCTAAATGTAAAAATATGGCGCTATACTCCAGCATTTTGGATTTGAGATCAAATGTTTCATATGAGGCGACAGTACAAAATGTCACCTTTAATCTGAGGGTATTTTCATACATACAGTGGGGAAAAAAAGTATTTAGTCAGCCACCAATTGTGCAAGTTCTCCCACTTAAAAAGATGAGAGAGGCCTGTAATTTTCATCATAGGTACACGTCAACTATGACAGACAAAATGAGAAAAAAAAATCCAGAAAATCACATTGTAGGATTTTTTATGAATTTATTTGCAAATTATGGTGGAAAATAAGTATTTGGTCAATAACAAAAGTTTCTCAATACTTTGTTATATACTCTTTCTTGGCAATGACACAGGTCAAATGTTTTCTGTAAGTCTTCACAAGGTTTTCACACACTGTTGCTGGTATTTTGGCCCATTCCTCCATGCAGATCTCCTCTAGAGCAGTGATATTTTGGGGCTGTCGCTGGGCAACACGGATTTCAACTCCCTCCAAAGATTTTCTATGGGGTTGAGATCTGGAGACTGGCTAGGCCACTCCAGGACCTTGAAATGCTTCTTACGAAGCCACTCCTTCGTTGCCCGGGCGGTGTGTTTGGGATCATTGTCATGCTGAAAGACCCAGCCACGTTTCATCTTCAATGCCCTTGCAGATGGAAGGAAGTTTTCACTTAAAATCTCACGATACATGGCACCATTCATTCCTTCCTTTACACGGATCAGTCGTCCTGGTCCCTTTGCAGAAAAACAGCCCCAAAGCATGATGTTTCCACCCCCATGCTTCACAGTAGGTATGGTGTTCTTTGGATGCAACTCAGCATTCTTTGTCCTCCAAACACGACGAGTTGAGTTTTTACCAAAAAGTTCTATTTTGGTTTCATCTGACCATATGACATTCTCCCAATCCTCTTCTGGATCATCCAAATGCACTCTAGCAAACTTCAGACGGGCCTGGACATGTACTGGCTTAAGCAGGGGGACACGTCTGGCACTGCAGGATTTGAGTCCCTGGCGGCGTAGTGTGTTACTGATGGTAGGCTTTGTTACTTTGGTCCCAGCTCTCTGCAGGTCATTCACTAGGTCCCCCCGTGTGGTTCTGGGATTTTTGCTCACCGTTCTTGTGATCATTTTGACCCCACGGGGTGAGATCTTGCGTGGAGCCCCAGATCGAGGGAGATTATCAGTGGACTTGTATGTCTTCCATTTCCTAATAATTGCTCCCACAGTTGATTTCTTCAAACCAAGCTGCTTACCTATTGCAGATTCAGACTTCCCAGCCTGGTGCAGGTCTACAATTTTGTTTCTGGTGTCCTTTGACAGCTCTTTGGTCTTGGCCATAGTGGAGTTTGGAGTGTGACTGTTTGAGGTTGTGGACAGGTGTCTTTTATACTGATAACAAGTTCAAACAGGTGCCATTAACACAGGTAACGAGTGGAGGACAGAGAAACCTCTTAAAGAAGAAGTTACAGGTCTGTGAGAGCCAAAAATCTTGCTTGTTTGTAGGTGACCAAATACTTATTTTCCGCCATAATTTGCAAATAAATTCATTAAAAATCCTACAATGTGATTTTCTGGATTTTTTTCCCTCAATTTGTCTGTCATAATTGATGTGTACCTATGATGAAAATTACAGGCCTCTCTCATCTTTTTAAGTGGGAGAACTTGCACAATTGGTGGCTGACTAAATACTTTTTTTCCCCACTGTATCTGTTTTACCGTTTAGAAATAAAAGCAGGGGAGATCCGGGTTGTGGCTACATGGTGTCACGATCGTCGAAAGCATTGGACCAATGCGCAGCGTGGAATGCGAACATACTTTATTATATTCACCACACGAACAAAAACAACAAAACGATACGTGAAGTCCTTGGTAACAAACACTAACCATACACGGAACTAGATCCCACAAAATACCAAATGCACACAAGGCTGCCTAAGTATGGTTCCCAATCAGAGACAACAAGCAACAGCTGATTCTCGTTGCCTCTGATTGAGAACCACCCCGGCCAACATAGAAACACAATGAACTAGATCCTGAACATAGAAACACAAAACATAGACTCTACACACCCTGGCTCAACATAACAGAGTCCCCAGAGCCAGGGCGTGACAGTACCCCCCCCCCAAAGGCGTGGACAGCGACCGCGCCAAACATAAACCGAACAGGGGAGGGCCGGGTGGGCATTCCTCCTCGGAGGCGGATCCGGCTCCGGGCGTGACCACCACCCTCTAAAACCCCCCCGTAGTGCCCCTGGTCTGGTCTGGCCCTGCTGGCTGGAGCTGGACTGGACATCGGTGGAGCGGATTGCTTAGGCTCCGGTGTGGAGCAGCTGACCGGTACCTGACCAGGCACCGGTGAAACGGGCACGGGCTGTGCCGGACTGACGACGCGCACCACAGGCTTGGTGCGGGGAGCAGGAATGGGCCAGACCTGGCTTACGACGCGCACCCCTGGCTTGGTGCGGGGAGCAGGAACGGGCCGGACCGGGCTGACGATGCGCACCACAGGCTTGGTGCGGGGAGCAGGAATGGGCCGGACCGGGCTGACGATGCGCACCATAGGCTTGGTGCGGGGAGCAGGAACAGGCCGGGCCGGGCTGGCGACGCGCACCATAGGCTTGGTGCGGGGAGCAGGAACAGGCCGGGCCGGGCTGGCGACGCGCACCATTGGCTTGGTGCGGGGACTAGGAACAGGCCGGGCCGGGCTGGCGACGCGCACCATTGGCTTGGTGCGGGGAGCAGGAACAGGCCGGGCCGGGCTGGCGACGTGCACCATTGTCTTGGTGCGAGGGGCAGGAACAGGCCGGGCCGGGCTGGCGACGCGCACCATTGGCTTGGTGCGAGGGGCAGGAACAGGCCGGGCCGGGCTGACGACGCGCACCATTGGCTTGGTGCGGGGAGCAGGAACAGGCCGGGCCGGGATGGCGACGCGCACCATAGGCTTGGTGCGGGGAGCAGGAACAGGCCGGGCTGGCGACGCGCACCATTGGCTTGGTGCGGGGAGCAGGAACAGGCCGGGCCGGGCTGGCGACGCGCACCATTGTCTTGGTGCGAGGGGCAGGAACAGGCCGGGACAGGCTGGCGACGTGCACCATTGGCTTGGTGCGAGGGGCAGGAACAGGCCGGGCCGGGCTGGCGACGCGCACCATTGGCTTGGTGCGAGGGTCAGGAACAGGCCGGGCCGGGCTGGCGACGCGCACCATTGGCTTGGTGCGAGGGGCAGGAACAGGCCGGGCCGGGCAGACGACGCGCACCATTGGCTTGGTGCGAGGGGCAGGAACAGGCCGGGCCGGGCTGGCGACGCGCACCATTGGCTTGGTGCGAGGGGCAGGAACAGGCCGGGTCGGGCTGGCGACGCGCACCATAGGCTTGGTGCGAGGGGCAGGAACAGGCCAGACCGGGCTGGCGACGCGCATCACAGGCTTGGTGCGAGGGACAGGAACAGGCCGGACCGCACTGGGAACACACACCACTGGCCTGGCCGGACCGGACTGGCAACACACTTCAGTACCTCTCGCCGTGCCTCTACACTTTCCCTCCCTCTAATCACCAATGGCTCCCGTAACCCGGTGGCCTTCTCTCCTCATCCACAAACTCGCCCCTTATCTGCCTCCAGCAGCCCCGTCGTCCATGCCATGTGCCCCACCCTAAAAATGTATTGGGGTTGCCTCTCGCCTGTCCGACGACGACACTGTTGGCGCCGTACCTCCTCTCTCGCCAAGGCTTTAACCTTTGCCCATGGTCCTCTGCCCTCGAACATGTCCTCCCAGGACCACCATTGGCCCACCTGGGCCATCGCCAACTTCTCCATCTCCTTACCCGGCGTTAGCTCCGAAACACGCTGCTTGGTCCAGTATTGGTGGGATCTTCTGTCACGATCGTCGAAAGGATTGGACCAATGCGCAGCGTGGAATGCGAACATACTTTATTATATTCACCACACGAACAAAAACAACAAAACGATACGTGAAGTCCTTGGTAACAAACACTAACCATACACGGAACTAGATCCCACAAAATACCAAATGCACACAAGGCTGCCTAAGTATGGTTCCCAATCAGAGACAACAAGCAACAGCTGATTCTCGTTGCCTCTGATTGAGAACCACCCCGGCCAACATAGAAACACAATGAACTAGATCCTGAACATAGAAACACAAAACATAGACTCTACACACCCTGGCTCAACATAACAGAGTCCCCAGAGCCAGGGCGTGACACATGGTATACACCCACAGATGGAAGTGGCTGTGGCTGTATACCAAAATAAAAAATATATTTGTTTTGTGAAGAATTTTTGCATTTGAACTAATCCTAAATCTAACCATTGTTCTAACCTTAACCTAATTATCCTAACCTGCTACATTAATGATCCTAACCCACTGCGTAAATTCTCCTCACCTACTATGAAAAGTATATTTTTCCTCACCGCAAAACGTGACAAAAGTAACGCGGGCGGAAGTAACACACCCATTTTCTCAAATGACATAGACGCTAGAATGATGTAATGACACACGCAAGTGCCTAATGCGGAAGACGACCTCCCTGCAAAAAATCATTACGCTGCAACATTTCAACAAGTTTTCAACAAAAGTTGTTTTGAGCGAGGGAAAGTAAAAAAAACTGATCCTGAAGTGTTTTTCGGTTGTAGAGTTGTACGTTTTTTAAAGGTTCCAAACATGTTCTTTTCTTAACCCATCTACTGACTAAATTACAGCATAGGTTTGAAACATCTTGCTAGCTAGTCTTGGATGCTAGCCAGGGAGAAGTTACAGGAGAGAGGGGTGGGGCGGTAGTAACATTTGTAGGGCACAGAAGTAACAGATATTGTGCACTTCTCGCCAGACGTTACTTCCAACCCAAGCCTGTGTTACTTCAGCCGGCAGCAGGTACAAAAGTAATGTTGCAGTAGTTCTGTTCTTGGTCTATTTCATTTGAACTCCTTTAACCTACAAATGAAATT